AGTCTCAAATTGAGTACAAGAAACGTGTATTTTTTTTGAGTCAAGCACCTTGTTGAGAGAACAATTTTTTTGTTACGACCATAAATTTTAGGACAACACTAATAGTGGAAACTAAAATGCGGAGTAAACACACAAAGAAATTATATTGCAATTTTTTTTCGTCAATTCGTAACAAGACTTTCATCACAAATCAGTCATAACCATTTCATCACTCACATAAATCTCAAGCCGACAAACGATGGATTATAAATCACATATAATTTGATGAAAAAGCTAACATTTTTCGAGTTGGGAACTTGAACCCCACAAGTTGAGAAATGTTGTCTCATGAACAAGATGTTTTTTTTGCAGGAAAAGTTGCAGAGAAGATTTGGCGAGTCGTGGATTTAGTCTGGCGACAGGATAAAGAAGTTCGTGTTGTATTTTCCTGCTTCAGTGAAGGCGCAGTCGACTTTGGTATAATTCTAGCTGCATTACAGCTTCTTATAAGAACACCAGCGTATTTCTTACACTCAACGCCCACTGATAAACTCGTAGAAAAACACCGCTACAGATTCTCTTTTACTGGATGAAAGCTGGATGTCCGTCCAGTCTAATGTAAAACAGCGCTATGGTTTTTCAAGTCAAAAAATTCCGCTTATCCTCTTCTGAGACTTATTATAAGAGGAGAAATTATTATGGAATTCTTATCCCAATTTATTTTGTTGAAATCTCTTACAAAATTTGAATAAGAAATTCGTTTCCCTTGAATCTCCAAAGTATACATGGAGGCATTAAGGATACGAACAGTTATGCACAAATCTTATATGATAATTAAAGAAATGGTGCTGAAAAAACAGGAAGCATACAAAAAATCCAAGCTTCTGTGCATTTTTCAAACAATTCATTAAAACTGAAGAGCGTAGAGTCCTTCGAATCGTTTCAATTTGCGCTCACATAATTGGATTCATTAGTCTTGCTTTGTATCCCAATGAAGTCTCAGTTTTGTGTGGCCATTAAGGCTTGCGAAGCCGAGGCAAAAGATGTCCATGAGTGAAAAGACTTTAATATTCTACTAATACTCGCTGCATATGCTGACTTGAGTCAGCATTTAAAGAACACGAACATAAACGAACGAGTAACAGTCACGAATCCTAATATGATTAATAACAAATATCCATTTATGCGGCCAACACATATGTAACAAATTTATAATAGATTTATGTTGTATAACCTAGCCGTGTGTAAAAGCCAGTGTGTAAAAAATACGAAACTCAACGTTTCTAATTCAAATATGGGCCAAAATGAGATTTTTGTGAATAAAATCAGTTTACCGACACATTTTAATTGAATTTCAATTATATCGCAACTATTGGGACCTATCCAGCATGTCACGATTCTATTTACAGTGTTAAATTTTCGATGATGGTTTCCACTGTTGAAAGCGCGGTTTGCATTTCAGACTTCTTTTCAGCCCGATACTCTTCAAATAATGTCCGCCTTTCGAAAAGTCATGCAGTGTTCATTCCAAAGTAATATTTCTGGCTCGCCGACTTCATTGCCAAGGCGAAATCGAATGTATTTCTACCTGCGAACGCACAGTTTCCAACCGCAAACAAGAAGCCACCCCTGACGCTGAGACTGAAATCATTTTCTGCTACATTGGCTCGACTGCAATTGCAGCTTTGGCTGCTATTACCTTTAGTTTACTAGGCAATAGCATAGATAAATTTGAAGCTCGGCTGCAACTTAGAGATGAGATTAGAGTAATGTAACTATTAAGCAGCTCTCAAGGTCTATGGCAATGATGGTCGTGAGTAGAGCTTTAAGAGCCATCGTTTAATAAGAGGAACCTCAGATTACTACCTCGGCTATAGGAGGACAATACAGCTTGTGTTCTTTACGAGGCGTCCAAATCATATGCACAGGGATCCATTTATGGCATTTAAAGCAATCATGATGGGCAGTAACTTTGAACGAGCTTTTGATCTGCGTATAAACCTGAAATCCTTGGGAGGAACGAGGATGTCGCTGTTGAAGACGTGATAAAAGGAACTAAGGTGTATATATATTTGAGATGGTAATAACTTTAGTGCGCTGAAAAAAAACTGTAGCCACATGAAATGAAAACTGCAATACATATATATGAAGATTCTCGAATGCCTTGTTTTGAATTCTAGGTGTCGTGGAGCATATATAGGCTTATATTTTTACTTGGACTGAAGTTACTTAAATATTTCAGCGAAATTTGACGTCACCACGATCGAACTTTAAAAAAAATCGTACCAATTTTAAAATTTTTATTTTGGAATGGAGCAAAATGGCAGGATAAATAAAATTAAATTCCTCGTTTTTAATGAGAGCAAAGGTTTTAAAAAATGCAGATGTTGCATGTATGAAGTTCGCAGCTCGCGTGACATCAACCGTCAGGGCGGTCTCGGCTTAAAATTAGGCGTGCAAAACAATGAGCGGCGCTCAACTAATGGCTGGCCTGAGATATGCGACTCAACATGGTCGCTATGCGCTCTGTTATGGACGAAAATAATGAAAGTTGGGCTGGCGTCGACCGCAACAAAATGTTTTGCAATCACGGCAGCTGTGGTAAGTCTTTTGTGATCGCTACACAGAAACCGGCAAGTCCCAAATGTCATATTAAATTGCACGTGTCTGTGCAATTTGAAGGATCGTGTTGAAGGATTTAATGACATTGATATGGAGTATCACATTTATTAAAGTGACCTGCATTTTTGGAGGGTAATCACTACAGGTGAATCCTGATGAACTTTAAAGACGAATCCTGGTAAATTGTACAAGCAAATCCTAGTCAACGAACTCTAAAAATGTTTGCTATTAGTTAATTTAGATGCGCAAAGTATTAATTGTTCAACATACAACTGCATTCATTGTCCTCGTAGCAGGCAAGTTTTTCTGTACGGTATCTTAAAGTGAAACGCGTGTTTCATTGGAAATACGGTGAATTTACTTGGCGTTTTCTCTACTTTACAATACTTGGTGAATTTTATAAGCAGACTTAAAATATAAGAACGCGAAACCATATTGACAGCCGAGTTTTCTTGGTTCTTTTGAAGCTCAATAATCGCGCTATCATGCGTCTACTGATCACTAATTATAATGCATCTATTTTGGCATGAGTGACGAAAGAAATCACTTGAAAACAATATTAATCCAGTCGCCTATTGTGAGGCCTAGTTGAGCTTTTAAGTGATCAAAGAAAAAGTATATCATATCAAGTGATGACGGGAAGATGATTATATTTAGAAAAACGGTTGCATAATCAATTTTGAGTGATGTTAATTTTTCAGCTTGATGGAGAATACTGCGATAAAAATTAAAGTTGCTTCAATTTCTAAAATTAGAAAAATTTGTTTGGTGAATTTATCTTAAAATTAATCGTTTTTATGTTATAATATTTAAATTAGAATCTTCATATTTCTATGCGGTCAAAGTCAGGGTCTAACTTTGCAAGTTCTCGAACGCGGCTGGAAATACTTTTTCTTACGATCAACAAGTCGTAAAAATTCAAGACACCAAAATTTCCACGCGCTTTTCTACGATCAGTAGCCTAATGTGCCCTCAAATCAAACTACTGTACTCAATATGATAATACGATTTAATTGTTTAACGGTTGTTTAACAGTTTTGTGTACCGGTTGTGTTTTACTGTTTTCTTGAACGGATATAAGTTACGATTGTGTCTAGCGGTTTTGTTTAATGGTTCAGTGTTATGGGTATATCTATACAACGAATATAAGTAACTTATGAGTAACTATTTTGTGTATCGTTCTGTGTAATAGCTGCGTGCAGCGGCTGTGTTTTAAGTCTGTGTGTAAAAGCTGCTTGTAGCGGTGTTATGGGCAGCGACTGAGCTTCACTTGACTCATTTCGCTGTAAAGTAAACGTGTGCAACACAGCTCATCGACACATAATTTTGTCTCATATCGCTCCAGACTCAGAGCCAATTTGTCCAGACTTTCTGCTCCTACCCAGCGGTTCAGTGACGTATCCCATTGTTTCACACATTATAGCTTGTCAGCTCGAAAGCTTGTCATTGCTAGGTGCCAGTAAAAGAGGTGATACCATTGATTACCTATCGAAACTTTTGCCAATTTCCGTGTCCTGGACCAAACACTTTATGACGGAAGTTGCCAGATGAAAGGCCATCTATAGAAGCGGTGGGCGAAGGCTCCTGCGATTGCCGAGAAGAGGAGAAAGGATTTCCGTGGCTTAAGGATTCATGCATCAATCTTTGATGAGGATTTCGTACCGTTTCATGAGCTTAAATCATCATTTTTTGGTGTTAAAAGCCTGATATGACGTTGATAAAAAATATACATATAATAAATTATCGGCTTTCGATAGGAAATAATTGAGGACATTGTGTCTTGAGGAATATTGCAGGATTCATAGGAATAATTAATATTTATACAAAATGCATGGATGAATTCTGTATAAAATTATTAATTTATAAATGCTTTAAAATGATTTGTAACTATAGCTAAAATCTGCCATCTTACATATCGCTTAACCTATTGGTTAAATAGGAGCACGAGTTGGAGCGGGTGCTACTGTGTTATGATTGAAATTTTATTTATTTATTTATCATAACCTTAAACTTTTATCGTTGTTTAAATTGGAGTATTTAATTTTGCCCTGAAAACATCAAAGTAATGTCTTGAATTTATTGATAGAAAAAGTACTTAACTGCAACAACTCGCACAGAAAAATAAAATTGATCCTGAATATTCATTAATAGATACAAATTTTTCCATTGTCATCCTGAAACCACGCATTAAAATCATTATCCTTCTATCACCTCGATAGTAATTAATCAAGGTAAATCTTGAGGGCCAACCTGTACTTGTCTTCAGGTTCAGCCGTGCAATGTTACTCTCTCAATAATCCAGCCAATGAATTTCATGCAGAATTCATATTCACGAATACGACATATTTTCGCGAACAAGATTTGGACGGTGCAATGACCTGTCTCTTATACACATCTAGATGTGTATAAGAGACAGCGTCCCCTGCCTGCACGACGCGTCCCCTGCCTGCACGACGCGTCCCCTGCCTGCACGAAGCGTCCCCTGCCTGTACGTCGCCTGCGGTAGCAGTCGATCAGGCGAGGTGAGGCTCAGTGTCAGCTGTCGTCCCCAAATGTTGATCTTGCCGCGGTAAATGTTTACTGAAAAACTTGGTTTTATTCAAGAGGAGACGCAGCTAAACTTCAAGGGAGCTGGTGCCGCGTTCGTAAAGTTGTCAAACATTGATCATATTTGTTTGATAATGTCAAACATGATCAAACAACTTTGATCATATATTTGCTTGGTGTCCGATACTGAAATATGATGCATTTATAAATCTGTAAATAATAAATAAAACTAATTCTCTGGTCTTTAACAAAACTTGTTTAAGAGAAGAAATTCTGCCAGCCTACACTAATAAATCTGTAAATGTATATATACATAGTATCCTAAAAGTCTATAAACTATTCCCGATCTATCATTAACAACATCTTAAATAAAAAATATTTATTTGTTAATACATGACCGCTTGTCATGACATTGAGTAGAGTAACCAAATTTAAATTTATTTTCTCTCTGTTCCCGCAGTGCAGAGATTCATAAGTAGGTGCCGAGGATGATGCTTCATGATTCCGGCCATAGTTCATGGTCCTATACGTCTCCAATTAAAAAAAAATGTATTCACTTATGACTACCTTCTTCATAAATACGAGTTTAGGAATAAAAACACAAATAAAATTATTCATTTTTCCTCTGCCTCCTCAGTGCAGAGATCCATAAGTAAGTGCCGAGGATGATGCTTCATGATTCCGGCCATAGTTCATTGTCCTAAACGTCTCCAATTTTAATAATATACGTTTAAAAATTACTTTTTAAAGACAACACTTCAAAAGAATCCAGTGTCTCCAATCTTACAGATGTACAATGAATTTCTCATATATGTAATTTTCGAATATTAAAAAAATTAATTTTTCAATTTTTTAATATATAAATTTTTTCAAAATTATCTATTCTATTAATTGATTCATGCATTGCTTCTGACTTCGCACAAGTGTGCAAAATTTCAGATCAATTAGACAGGTAAAAGTGTGTCAAATATCAGTTATAAGATTTGTAGCTGACAAAATTATTTTTTAAATTTTTTAATATTGAAAATTTTTTTTTTTAATTTTCAAAAACATTTATTTTGACATTTGATTCATGCATTGTCTCCAACTACATGTGTGCAATACATTCATACATGTGTGCAAAATTTCAGATCGATAGGATAAGTAGAAGGGTGTTAAATTTCGATTACAAGATTTGTAGCAGATAGACAGACAGACAGACAGACAGACAAACAAACAAACAAACAAACAAACAAACAAGAAGTGAAGTTAAAGATAAGTTTGTAAAAATGCATTCACTTATGACTAATTTCTTCATAAATACGAGTTTATTAACAGAAACACAAAGAAAATTATTCATTTTCCTCTGGCTCCTCAGTGCTGAGATTCATAAGTAAGTGCCGATGATGATGCTTCATGATTCCGGCCATAGTTCATTGTCCTAAAAATCTACAGTTTTGAAAATGTATTCACTAATGACTACTTTCTCCACAAATACGAGTTTAGGAATAAAAACACAAAGAAATTATTCATTTTCTCTCTGCCTCCATGGTGCAGAGATTCATAAGTAAGTGCCGAGGACAATGCTTCATGATTCCGGTTCCGGCCACAGTTCATGGTCCTATACGTCTTCAATTTAGAACAAAATGTAGTCACTTATGACTACCTTCTTCATAAACACGAGTTTAGGAACAAAAACACAAAGAAAATTATTCATTTTTCTCTGGCTCCTCAGTGCAGAGATTCATAAGTAAGTGCCGAGGATGATGCTTCATGATTTCGGCCATAGTTCATTGTCCTATACGTCTTCAATTTTAAAAATGCATTCACTTATGACTAATTTCTTCACAAACACGAGTTCAGGAATAAAAACACAAAGAAATTATTCATTTTCTCTCTGCCTTCATGGTGCAGAGATTCATAAGTAAGTGCCGAGGACAATGCTTCATGACTCCGGCCATATAGTTCAGTCCCGCGCCGAGTCCAGATCAACTCTCAGGACCGGCGCCTCTGGGAACGAGTTCTATGCATCAATGCCAGGCCACATGCTCAGACAAATCGTAGGGCTTTCTAGCAACAAGATTGTCAAGCCGACTAACTGCTTGACTTGCGTGTGATGTATACACCCTATATACACTAGAACTGGAAACAATTCCCATGCGTCAGTAACAGAAGTGGTTTGGCTAAGTAAAAAACTGATAACAACACCCTATACGAAATCGTTGGCAGATTTACAGTCATTTCGTCAAAAATTAGCGTAGAGAACTAATTTGAAAGGGTGTATTGTCAGCTGGAATAAGTTCGATTTCTTCATTATTTTGGTTCTCTAATCTTAGCTTTTAGGCATTGTATTATATCATATTCACTTGATGTAATCACATTAATTGACATAGTGTTTTTCGATCTCACACATGGAAGAGAAGCTTCACACATTTTAATTCAAGGACTGAGGGCAATATTGATTAGCAAACCTAATATCCGAGTTACTATGCGAATAATTGTGAAATATCCTCATTTTTAATAAATCTCTTATAAATTACGTGCCTTATTCCCTTATGAATGTCAAATAGTTCTTGGAGACTGACGACATGCGCGCATCGTATATCTAGAAGTAAAGCTTCTAAGACTAGTAAAAAGCACGCACTTCAAGTTACAAGAATTTTAGTGTTCCTCATATATAAAAATTATTATTATTATTTACAAATTCAATAAACAAATTATTATTGTTCTCTTAGCCAGATAGTCAAGGCGTTCATGCATTAAACGTAAATAGATTCAATGGAATTTCAATGATCAACCGTGGTTGCTTCTGCAAGAAAACGCCCCCGGATCGGAAATGTTTATTAATATGTGTTTTTTGAGCTCCAACGAATTTGCTAATAGTAAAAAACTTGATTTTTTCATATTCTTTGTTCATAGCAAAATAACCTAAACCTTACATCTTGTTGGAGTTTGGCTCCATTACCTGACGCAGGAAATATATATCTGTCTTACATGTAGCTAATGTGTATACGTATGAGGCTTATAATGTTTTAAATTTGGCCAGTTTGATGATCAGGAAGCTTGAAATTGCAATGAAAATAGGCAGAAAATAAAATATTCAGTTATATAATTACACAAATGAACCACATATAACAAAGTATTCCGAAAAATAAAATGGCGAAAGCAACTAGTTTATTCATTTTTCTTTTGAAGAGGCCGAAATTAAAAAGCTTCTAACGTTTTTGTATTTTTTTTGCAATAATTTCAGACCAAATCGCTGCCATTAATCACTTTAACAGCATCTTCAGATCACAGCCAGGCAGCAATAGCCGAAAACAAATTAGTTTCGAATGGAGTTCAATAAATCAAAGTCTCTGCCATATTTTTAGAGGCATATAAATAACTCGCTCTCAAGTTAGCGCAGCCGCATAATTAAGTTGATAATGACTAATTAATTTTTATATTGGGGAATCCTTACCTAAACGAATTTTTTAGAGAAAATAGATGTGATTTCATTTGTCACGCGTTATTATGATTTTTTACACGCGCCATGTTGTTGAAAAAATTTCAAAGACAATCATCTGCATGCTTCTATGTAATCAGTTCCTAGGAGAAAAACAGAACAAACAAATCTACGGACCATATGAAATTATTTTGTCTGCAATAAACTTGCAAATTTCTGTAACGTGTGAGGCAGTTTAGGGAAACGAGGAAACTTCCAAGAAGGCTTACACATCGCAGAGGCCGCTGTCGCCTGGGGCGGATGCTCCCAAATTAGTCCGGCAGATTGTCTCCCTATCTCACTCCCACTCCGCTCTCCCCCTGCCTCCAGCTTCCCTCTCTCACTCCCACTCCGCTCTCCCCTTGCCTCCTCCAGCTTTCCTCTCTCACTCCCACTCCGCTCTCCCCTTGCCTCCTCCAGCTTTCCTCTCTCACTCCCACTCCGCTCTCCCCCTGCCTCCAGCTTCCCTCTCTCACTCCCACTCCGCTCTCCCCTTGCCTCCTCCAGCTTTCCTCTCTCACTCCCACTCCGCTCTCCCCCTGCCTCCAGCTTCCCTATCTCACTCCCACTCCGCTCTCCCCCTGCCTCCAGCTACCCTATCT